GGAAAATATTTTTAAATTTTGTTTCTAGCCTCCACTGGCCTACAGTTTGCCATACTTTCCAAAAATATGACAAAAGAGGTGAGCCTTTTAGCAAGACAATAAAATAGCTGTATTCCAATTTCTTCAGATGCTGCAGATGTGAGTTTAAAATGTATCCCAATAGATAGTGGGATCTACTAATACTCCTTTCAATGTCCCTACCTATTAGTAAACCTCTGATTTATTTGATAGGGTTGTACTTAATATGTAATAGTTATTGCCTACGACTATTACATTTTAATAGATTTTAAATACATGAATTGCTTCTCTTTTACAGGCTATTGATGCTCTAAAGAAAATATATATGGAGTTTCCTCAACTATACAATACTAGTATGGTCTGCTCTTTCTTGCCAGAAGTTATCTATAAGGTAAAATTTAGGATATTTGTTGTACATAATATTATATTAGTTGGTGGTAATAATAGCAATGGGCCAAATAACTGTAAGACAGATGCCTGTTAAATTGAACTGAATCAGTTAAGAAACTCCTCTTTTAAGTTAACCAGAGAAATTCAGGAAGGGGAATGTACTCATATCCCATTTAAAAATACCATGATTCTGGCCAGGCTGGTGTGGCTCAGTGGGTGAGTGTCAACCTATGAACCAGGAGGTCATGGTTCAATTCTCAGTCAGGGTACATGCCCTGGTTGTGGGCTCGATCTCCAGTAGGGGGTATGCAGGAGGCAACCGATCTATTATTCTCTTTCATCACTGATGTTTCTATCTCTCCTCCCTCTTCTCTCTGAAATAAAAAATATATTAAAAATCCTGTGATTCCTTTTTAGCTCCTTTTTTTTATGTTTATAGGTTCATTCAGATTACTTTGGAAAACGTTCTCAGAACAGAAAGAATTGTGTAGCTCTACATCTCACTGAGTAACAGCAAAATATACCTGTTAAAAAATAGCTTTTAATTTCAGAGAATTTAAAGTATGCATAAAAGTAGATGGTAGTACAATGAGTTCCTCTAACCACGATCCGGTTTGTTTCATCCATATCCCCCCACTTGTTTCATCTGTACCCTCCTTGTTTTCCCCAGTGTTATTTTGAAATGTATCTGACATCATATCATTTCATCCATTAAAATTGCATTAAGTATCTTTTTTTTTTTAAATCACCTGAGGATATGTTTAGAGAGAGGAAATGAGAGAGAGAGAGAGAGAGAGAGAGAGAGAGAGAGAGAATCATAGATCTGTTGCCTCCCATATGTGCCCTGACTGGGAATCAAAACTGCAATCTTATGGTGTACGGGACACCATTCTAACCAGCTGAGCCACCTGGCCAAGGCACATTAAGTATCTTTAAAAAGCAATTCCTGCCGAAACCGGTTTGGCTCAGTGGATAGAGCATCGGCCTGCGGACTGAAAGGTCCCAGGTTCGATTCCGGTCAAGGGCATGTACCCGGGTTGTGGACACATTCCCAGTGGGAGATGTGCAGGAGGCAGCTGATCGATGTTTCTCTCTCATCGATGTTTCTAACTATCTCTCTCCCTTCCTCTCTGTAAAAAATCAATAAAAAATATATTTAAAAAAAATAAATAAAAAGCAATTCCTTTAAAAACACACAGCCACAGTACCATCATCTAAAATCGTTGGTAATAAGTCTATAAGATCAAATATGCACTCAGTGTTACATTTTCATTTGTCTCAGAAATAGCACAAATGGTTTTTTTTTTTACAAATTGCTAATTTGAAGTAGGAACCAACAAAAGACTGTCATAATTTTAAATCTTAAACTAGTAAATTCTTCCTCTCTCCCGCCTCATCCCCTAGCCCTTGTGATGTATTTATTGAAGAAACCAGGTTGTTTTGTAGAGTTTACCCAAGTCTGGATTTTGCTAATTATGCCATCACACAGTTCAACACTTTCTTCTCCTCTGTATATTTCCTGTAAATTGGTGATGAGAGCTAAAGGCTTGATCAAATTAGGTTCAGTTGTTCTTGGCAAGATAATTTCATAGGTTAGTTATTTTCCCATCAAAGGGCATATAATGGCTGGCTGACTCTTGTTAGCAGCTGCGATTGATGCCAATGGTCAGCTCTCTTACTTTATTAGGGGTTGGAAAATGTTAATATTTTAATTCTATAATTTCTTCATGTATTAGTTAGAATACTTCTATAAAAAGAAACCAATCTACTATTTAGTTGCCCAACAGGCAAATAAATGCTTAATCTTTCCCTTAATTTGCCAGTTTCCAAAATAATGAGTTGGTTCTGTAGCACTCTTTAACAGTGACCAACAGAGCATACATTTAAAATTTTATAGTAAGAGTGTAGCCAGTCCACATATAAACTGTCAATAAGATGAATAGGTCTCATAGGGCTTTCAAATATTTGGATCAGTGTTTCCCAAACTTACTTGGCCACAGAGGCTTTTAAAATGTATGCTGCAGGTCGGCCCTGGTGGCTCAGTGGACCTATGAACCACGAGGTCATGGTTTGATTCCTGGTCAAGGCACATGCCCGGATACCAGGCTTGATCCCCAGTAGGGGGTGTGCAGGAAGCAGCTGATGAATGATTCTCTTTTATCATTGATGTTTCTATCCTGCTCTTCCTCTCTGAAATCAATCAAAACATTAAAAAAAATTAAAATGTATGCTGTATTTTCCAGAGGAGCGTAGAACACAGACTTGAATAATTCCACCCATATCTCCCCATTTCTCCTTTGCCCTCTTCCTATCCCAACCCCACATTTTTCCTCTTTATTCTCTTCTCACGTACTTACCCTGCTTCCCCACCCACCACTCTTTTCAGCCTTTTTCTTAGAAAGGATCAAAAGCGAACCAGCCTAATTGAGTTCTAATTATCTTTGCCCAAAATTAAGATAATTGAGTTCTAATTATCTTTGCCCAAAATTTAAGTTGATATCCTGTTGAAAGTATTTTCTTGTGACATTATTAAACCTTGACCCCCAGATTATGATTTCTCTTTGAGATTATGATTTACTCATTTTAAAGATAGGATTGCAGTTTGTTTAGGATTGTAAAGGAATTGGTCTTATTGATACTTATATTAAACTAGAGTTCCAGTGCATGAATTCGTGCATGGGTGGGCTCCCTTGGCCTGGCCGGCTATTGAGGCCTATCGGGGGGCCGGCCGGCTGCGGGGAGGGGCCGCGGGTGGTTGTCTGGCTGGTCCCGCTCCCAGTTGTGTTGGGGGGCCCTATTGGAGGCAGGGCTGGCTGGGGGAAGGGGCTGCGGGAGGTTGGGGGCCTATCAGGGCCCGGATCGGGCCGATTGGCAGCTGCAGCGCGCTTCATAGCAACTAGTTGTTCCGGTCGTTCTGGTTGTTCCGCCGTTAGGGTCTCTGGGCTTTTATGTATATAGATGGTTTACTCTGTCACCTTATTTTCTCAAAGTGTTTATGATAGAGTACTTATTTAGTAGACATGGGGACAGGGTACTAAATCACTTTTCAGAATGAGAACAAAAGCTAAATTTAAATAAGAAGTGAGAGGTATTGGACTTATGATAATTATTATAGTTTCCAAAATTCCTTTTCAGATGAGACAAACTGACCAGAATGTAGTAACGGCGCTAACTCACAGACCTTGGATCCTTAGCCATATGGGAGATGGGAAACCACGCTATGATAACATGTGGAAACTGTCCACATTTGTGGTCTTAGACATTTTACTCGACTGGAGCATGCATAATGTCTTGTGGTACCTGTGTGGGATTTCAGCTTTCCTCGTACAGAAGGATTCTATATCCCCGTAAGTTGAACAGTATTTGATCTTCTGACACATTTCTTGAATGCTCTTCTTGGAAAGGAAGAGTAACAGTGGACAGCCTGGATAAGTTCCCACCCACAGAGCCCAATGTGCCTTTATTAAGTTGGAATGCCACTAGCTTCTTAGGTGGGAAGAGTTCAGGCATATTTTATTATTTCCAAAAACAAGTTGATCAGATATTCTTGGTTTTAAGTGTATTTTATAGAAAAAATAAATTTGTCAAACTGATGAGAAAGAAATTACATTTCCTTGTGATCGTCTCCTTTGAAAACCAATGTAGGATCCAGGTCAGACAGAACCACAGTGAAGATGTCCTGTGGGTGCCTAATTCATCTCTTCAGTCTTTCCTCCCACTCCCCGGTTCATCGCAGGCTCTGCTCCATTGTTTCCAAAACTTCTTGTTCCTTAACGTGCTGGCAATCTGTTTTTTAGCAGTTTTGTAGCTGTGTATTTCAGCTGATTATAATTTAGGTTTCATATTATTTCAGGTTTGTATGCATTTAATTCAGTAAATATTTGGTGTATGTCTACAGCAAGCATGTCAAACTCTTGTGGCCAGCCACGAGTTTGACATGCTTGGTCTACAGTATTGCAAGGTATTAAGAATCTGAAGATACTGTGGTAAAGAAACAAAGCCATGTTCTGTCCTCATGGAGTTTATAGTTAAGTGGAAAAGGAGATAGATGCTAATCAAATAAAAATTCAACAAATTACAGCTAAGATAAATGCTTTGTAGGTGAGAACAGTGTGCATGTATAATTTTACCTAGTCAGGGGAGTTGGGGAAAACAGCTAAAGGGTGAGTAGGAACTGAGGGGAGTGGTGTGGAGATCAAGTCAGAGGGAGAAACACATGCAAAAATGTTGTGGCAGCAAAGAATCTGGTTGTTTCAAGGAACTAAAAGAAAGTCGATATACTGCAGCACAGGAAAGAAAGGGGCAGTATGGTTTAAGACAGGGGTGGGCAAACTTTTTGACTCGAGGGCCACAATGGGTTCTTAAACTGGACTGGAGGGCCGGAACAAAAGCATGGATGGAGTGTTTGTGTGAACTAATATAAATTCAAAGTAAACATCATTACATAAAAGGGAACAGTCTTTTTTTTTTTTTTTTTTTTAGTTTTATTCATTTCAAACGGGGCCGTAGTTTGCCCATGGCTGGTTTAAGATGAGGCCAAAGAGACAGGTGGGACTAAGCTAGGAACGGCCTCTGTTATGACTTATTGGGAAGGGGTGGGATTTTTAGTAAGCCCCTGAAAAGTTTTAAGCTGTGACAGTGTGACAGCTGGCTTTGGAACATTTTCTCTGATTTCAGTACAGAGGCCAGTTAAGAGGCTTTCTGAGCACTGTGAGTACTCATTGAGTACCAGACTTAGTGACCAGCATAGATTCCTAGGCCAACTGGTCATTGTTCTAACAGATTCGTTTTTTCCTCTTTCTCCAGGAACTACTTAAAGAAGTGGTCCGCTAAAGGCATTCAGGTGGTTGGTTGGACTATTAATACTTTTGATGAAAAAAGTTACTATGAATCCTATCTTGATTCCAGCTATATCACCGACAGCATGTTGGAAGACTGCCCACCTCACTACTAGACTTTTCCCCCAGGGAGGAAGCCATGGCTACAGAGATTGCCTGCTGGCCTCATGCAGGGATCCTGAAAAACCCTTTGTGCTAGCCCAAGCCATGGGGAATCGGGTGGCCCGCAGAAGCAGTAGTCGGTAATGGCATTTTAACCTTGGACCAAAGCAAAGCCTGGTGTTGCCACCGTGCTCCATGGAATGCCTGAGTTCAACACCCATTGCTCTTGAAAATCTGGGTCTGCAAAAAAAAGGCACAATAGCCCCTGCCCAGACCTCGCTGAGGCACACACCAAGGCCCGGTGAGGATAGGCACAGATTGAGCTGTGCAATGCGGGAGTACAAATGCAAATGCATGGGATATGCATGATCACTCAAACTTGACATTTTAAAATTTGACACACATGTAATTTATTTAAAATATTTGTATTTGGCTACATTATCAATGTACTGTAGTCATCAAACTTGTGACCATACTAATAATAAAATCATTAAAAAGAGCATGAAGGGAAAACTGCTTATCAAGCATCAAATCCTAGGACATAAGGAATTTAGGGAAGCTGCTATCAGCAATCCAGTGACGGGGGCAACAGCTTCAGTGTGACGCAAATGTCAGGGAAGTCTTGACACCAGCCTGAGGGATTGTTTGTGGTATAAGAACTATAGACCACTAGGGGGCAGAGTTTCACCCTTACAGGCTACTCTACAACAGATGATCGGAGACACTATTCAAGGACATCTAGGCTTATCCTCATTTTAAGTGAGAAAACTAAAACGTGTGAAAGGGAAGGGTCTTATTCAAAAATGACACCACTGGTGATGTAGCAGAGCCTGATCTTATGATAGTTAAGAAAATTTTTTTTTACTATTTGCCAGGAACTTTAGTGGTTTTTAACACATTATCTTAATTAAATCTCACAAAAATCTTAGAGGTATTGGCTTTTTGAGGAAACTGAGGCACTGCAAAATTAGTTACTTAAGGTCTCAAATTTCTTGGTGCAGTTGGGATTCAAATCTAGGTTGGTCTGACTCAGAGCTCTTGCTTTTAACCCCCTGCCTGCCTTTATACAGCTCTCTATTCCCAGTTCCTTCCCACACGAGCTACTGGAGGGTCTTATTGTGAACTTAAATAGCAATATTTAAAATAAAGTTGAGACTTTAAAAGATTGCAAAGCTTTCTTTCTCCTCTAGGCCCCTCTTCCCCCTACCTAACAGCCCCATCTATAGCCTTGATCGCAGGCCTCACATCTTAGTCATGACTTCGCTCCTGAGTCCAGTGGGTCACCAGCCTCGCACGCGCGGCAGGCCATTGGTCCACGCAGCCAGGTGGCAGTGAGAAGCAAATGGATTTTTGCTATAGTTGGTGTTGGCAGGAGCATGTAGGTGGGGTTTGGGATAATTTTCCATTTATAAAATTTTCCTTGAATTTTAAGATTATAAGATAAAGATTTATTCAATAAATGGAGCAGATACCTAAACTGCATGTATTTCTGTGTCACATTATGACAAGTGATGAGAACCATTCAAAATTTCTGTGGCCCGAATTCCTCCTGTGACTTATATTCAGAGATGCATACCGACAGGACAGGGAAGGAATGCCTTTAGGGGCAGTAAAGTGAACATCCCTCTTGTGTGAAGACCTTTTGAAAGCCAGTTTACTGTCTTGACTTTTGTCCCAAATCCATTTTGCTCTTGACTGTGCCATACCCAATTAAGGATTTAGAGCCTGTGCTAAAGTGGCTTGGGCCTTGAAGAATGGAGAATTTGGATGAAGATGTTAATAAGTATTACTGTTGCCTGCCCAGTGTGGCTCTGGTTGAGCGTTGACCTATGAACCAGGAGCTCAAGGTTTGATACCTGGTCAGGGCTCATGCCCCGGTTTCGGGCTTGATCCCCAGTAGGGGGTGTGCAGGAGGCAGCCAATCAATGATTCTCATTGTTGATGTTTCTATTCTCTCCCTCTCTGAAACTATATATATATCTACTATTAAGTACTTACTTGAAAGGCTTGGTATTGGGTTAAAAACAGGATTTGGGATCAGAGAAAGGTAAATCTGATTTCCTGATCAGCACCTTGCCAGCTGTATGACCTTGGACTAGTTACTAATTCATCTGTAAAATAAGGGCAGTAGTAGTACCACCTCAGAGGGTGGTTGTGATTAAACAAAAGTGCATGTAAAAGGCTTGTTAATAACATTTACTGACGCTACCATGTGCAAGACACTATTTCAAATGTTTTCCATGTATTTACTTTGCAACAACACCATGAGGTAGTTACCATAATATGCTAAAGGACACCAAAGCACAGGGAAATTAAGTAGCTTGTCTACAGTCACACAACAGTAATAGGATAAGGACTCAAGCACAGGTGATATAATTCCAGAGCCCACACCCTAAAGCCCTGCTGTTCATGGCTGGTCCATACCTGTAGCAATGCCTGTATATGTTCAATAAATGTTGAAGGAGTGAATTAGAGGATATCAGTGGAAACTTCCTTGAGGAAGCTAGAGATACACATACAGTAAGATGAAAATTTGGGAGTTTAGACAAATGATTCAGATTCAGCAGTATCGAGGAGCCATCCAAAATCCCAATCGATAGCTTTCTTTCTAAGAACATCAATACAGATAAAAATCACATCTGTTCATTGGACTGCACCTCTGCTCTCAGGATTCTGGAGACCTAACATCGAAGGGCTACCTCAAAAGGCTTAAAAAATCCACTACTTACTTGATTAAACAATACTCATTTTCTTATTTGGAGACTGGCGTCTACAATCCTGTTTTGACAAGAATTTTACCAAGACATAAATATTCTATTTTTATTAGATGCAAATTTCTAAATAAAATTACACCTACCACTATCTAAAGTGGAAACGGTGCTTGAACAGAACAGTAAACCACAGCCTTGAGGACAGGAAGGGTGTGAATTAATGAACATCCAAACATCCACTCAAACCTTTAGCATGGAGTGACAGTTATGGTTTGGTGAGGTTATTCGATTTATCAAAAATGCTGAAGATCGATGACCTTGTGTGCTCTATGATTAAACTTTATGCTCAAAATCTATGTGCCAAACGCCAAGTATTAAGAAGAGGCTAGGCACGGTGGATGCTGTCCTTTGAGACATTTATTCAACCTCAGCTATGGGGGAACTTGTTAAAAACGCAAATTCTCAGAGCCCATCCCAGAACTAAAACTCTGGGTGGGGCTCAGGATTCGTTTTAAACCTCCAGGCAGTTCTGATACATGCACAAATCTGAGAACCACTGAGCTAGAGAAAACCTGAAGTCCTCGATTCTGCCACTGGCTAGCTAGGAGACCTTAGGCGAATCACTTACCTGTGCATGCCCAAGTTTTCATCACCTGTCAAATGGAGGTCATGATATTTGCACTAACTGTCTTACAGCCCTAATGTTATGAGGTTCAAATGATAGAAGTGGGAGTGTTTTTGAAAAATGTCCCTAAGAGTGCAGATAAAATAAGAAAAAAAATGTGGGGATGCCCTAGCGTACTGCTCAGGGTGTGGTCCTCAGACCCTTCCTTCCCAGCCTCCCAAATTAGAATCTGCTTTACAACAAGAGCCCTGGCGATTAAAGTGGGAAAGGCACCGAGTGGAGAGTAACAGCACACAGGTGTAAGGCACTGGTATCAGCTGCAGCCATGAGCAAAGCAGAGGGCCCTCTGCTCCACACTGAGCTCCTCTCAATGGTCTGTCTGGCAGTTAATCAGACATGGAAATGTTTTGATTTGGACAAGTGAGGGGAAATTCTGTGAGGTGCTATCATATTAGAGACAGTTCCTATGAGTGAGCTGAATTCTTACCATCTGTCCTCAATTCAAAGGTTATAAAAAAATATGCCAGTCTGTGCTATTTTATTTTTTTATATTTATAATTTTTTTAATTGAATTTTTACAGAGACGAAGGGAGAGGATAGAGAGTTAGAAACATCGATCAGCTGCCTCCTGCACACCCCCTACTGGGGATGTGCCTGCAACAAAGGTACAGGCCCTTGACTGGAATTAAACCCGGGACCCTTCAGTCCATAGGCCGATGCTCCATCCACTGAGCTAAACCAATTAGGGCTAGTCTGTGCTATTTTAGCCACTCCTTTTATAATTGAACTTTACACAAAAGCATCTCATAGCCTCCTAAGAAATGAACTGGGCCATTCACTGAGACCGCTTGAAGGATCAGATTAAATATATATATATATTTAAAACTGCCAGCTTTCAAGGGATGGTTGGAAAGCATGTTACTTTTATCATTTTGAACTAATTAAAATAAGGGCGGGAAGAGGAGAATGGGGAATGTCCCCTGAAGATTTTGATGCGATATTATGAACTCACCTTTTGTATGTTTAATAAGTGCCTCCAGTGTCTTTTATGGTCAGGCAAGTTTGGGAAGGACTACTCTAGATCCTAGCTCAGTAGTCCTCAGTCCTGGCTTTCTACTAAAACCATTTGGGGAGCTTGAAAGAAAAAATATGGATGCCTGCTCTAGTTGGTCTAGAGTGGGGCCTGGGCCTGGCTGTTGTCCAACAGCTCCCTGTGTGATTCTGGGGCCAGCCAGCACTGGGAACCCTGATGCCTAAAGAGAGGCTGTGATGGGACGGGGAGAGCTGGCCTCTGTTATGGTCTGAACTGTTATTGTCGACCCAAATTTCCTATGCTGGAGTCTGAACACCCGGTGCCTCAGAATGTAACCATATTTGGAGATCTGGCCTTTACACAGGTGAATAAATTAAAAGGAAGCCATAAAGGTGAGCCCTATGCCAATTGCCTGCTGTTCTTATAAGAAGAGAAAATCTGAACACTGAAAGGTACACCGGAATCTGCACACACGGAGGAAAAACACCGTGTGAGGACACAGCAAGAATGTGGCCGTCCGCAAACCAAGGAGACAGGACTCAGAAGGAAACCAAAACTGTGGATACCAACACTTTGATCTTGGACGTCTAGCCTCCAGAACTGTGAGAAAATAAATCTGTGTTGTTTAAGCCACCTAACACATGATATTTGGTTATGGCAGCCCCAGGAAATTAATACACCCCCATATCAAGACTAAATGTAAAAAGCATCCTCACATCCACATGTGTGTGTGAAACCTGCAGACTCAATCTTTCTATTGTGTTTACATCTCCAGGGAAGCAGGCTTTACACAAGTGGGGACAAGAGATGGAGGTGAATGGAGATAGAAACCTTTAGCATGTAGTCAGTCAGCAAAAATACTTTCAGAGGGAGTTTACCTTTTGACGTATAAGCCAGAAAAACACAAACAGCATTAAGATGATACAGAGCTGGGGGGGCGGAAATCACTTCAAATACCAATTCCACTGACCCGAGACAAGTTGTATCCCAATTGTCCCATAGGCTTCTCCTGCACAGCATCTATACAATTATAATAATTATTAAGTTCCTATCTGAATTAACTTGCTAGGCATCTGAGGGGAGAGAGACTGTGTCTTAACTTGTTCACCACTTGGCACATATTTGTGAAATGAACAAACACTACTTGCAACCAAAAGAAATTAACTCAGTTGATACAATGAATTAATGAATAACTAAGTGAATGAAAAAGTGAATCCATGATTGAACACTGATTGTATGTTTGTGTTTCAAATGTATCTGAAATGTTTTTTAAATTCAGTTCCAATTAGATTTCATGACAGTGATGAGTCAAGTAATTTGGTAATTGCACCTTTCTGCTGGACCTTTCAATTTTAAGTATAGTCACAGGTCTTGTGAATCACTTGGCAAATCTGCAGAAAGAATACTATATGTGTATGCATATGTATATATACACACACATATATATTTATTTATCCCCCACAGAAACATATACATACATACATATATATATTCCACACATACCACTGGTCTCATGTTTGGTCCAACATAAGACTTTGATGGTCACATATAAAACCTCATAGGTCAGAGTCCTGTCCACACCCACACCCCCGTCCAACCCCAAAGACTCATGTACTTCATATGCAACAGAGTTCATAGATGAGACCCCTGTTTGTATTTCACTTTTGGAATATTTTTAGTTCAAAGTCATGAACAAATGCAGGTCCTACAATTGAGGAGGCATCACACTCCTGACAGAGGACCACGTTTTTATTCAGGCTGTACCACTTGTCTGAGCACCACTTTCCAAACCTTTGC